CTTGCTGAGTGGACCAAACTTGCAATCTTCCTGCCTCAGGCTATCACACAGGTGGGGTTGCAGGTGTGCGCCACTGTGTTTGTTAAGGCTTTTGACAGCTGTCTTTTTTTTTTTTTTTTTTTTTGGAGACAGGATTGTGCTGTGGAGTCTGAGATGGCCCTGAATTTGCAATCCTTTTGCCTCAGCCTTCTCAGTGCTGAAGTCATAGGTGTATCCAATACTATGTCTACTTTCTTTCTTTTTTTTTTTTGTATTTTAGGGAAGGGTCTACAGGGTGTTCAGGGTTTTACTATTAGATCAGACTCATAGTGATCCACCTGTTTACAGTCTCCCAAGAGCTAGGATTTACAGACACGTGTCACCACACCCAGTGTCAATTGCTGTCTCAGCGTGCATGGGGGGCGGGGCCAGCACCAGCACTGCAGGCCCTGGGGATCGAACCCCTGGCCCCTGTGCCTGCTTGCAGGCGCTTTAATCTGCTGAGCTATTTGGCTGGCCCTCATTTTTTCTTTAGTAGTGGCAAAATGTGTTCAAAAAAGTAAAGGTTAAGAGTGGGAGACACAGTGGTCTAAAGCACCTACTTAGAACAAGCTTAGCAACGCATCAGGGACCGCGGTTCAATCCCCCAGCACCACATGCCAGCCAGCCTCGCCCCCTGGTGGGCTGAGCTGGCCACACACACACCACACTCTCTCTCTCTCTCTCTCTCTCTCTCTCATAAATAAAAAAAAAAAAAAAAAAAAAAGAGTGGGAGACAAACTGGCTCTACAGAGCAAGCTTGGGCTGTGTAAAAAGGAGAAAAGCAAGATAGAAGTACGTAAGTACATTCTGGGGTGCATGGGGGGCTATCATGAGAGAAGCCAGGAGAGCAGGCTCATCTGGATGTCTGTTTTCTCTTATACTGTCCAAATCTTTTTATTTTTTATTTATTTTTTTATTCTAATTTTATTGAGGAATATGAATGAGACATTTTCAAAGCTGATTAATAGGACAGTTTCTATAATCAATACATTGTACATTGTTATCTTCTTAGTGGTTATCCATAATACAAGAAGCAGACAGATATCCTGTCCAAACACTATTAGTACACCTTTCTTCTCATTGAATTAAGTGAAAGTAGCTGTATATCTATCCTATTTTGTATATATAAATACAAAATGATCTTTCCTTCGTATCCCCTTTTTTTTGTTTAGTCCTGTCAGAGGTGTATATTCTATTGGCATCTAAATACTAAGGTGTTTGAATTCAGCAAAACAATCCAACACCATCTAGCAGTCTATAATATTAGTGGGTTATCCTCAGAAGTTATTGACTTGAGCCTTTTACAGTTCATCGTATTAATATGACTTTATTTTATATACCTTGTTTTTCTGCTTTTACTTTATATACCTTGTTTTTATACTTTTCTGCTGAATGGTTAAGACCAAGATAAAGCACGACCTATATAACAAGAAATGTAACTCTTGTATCTGATAAGGTCAGCCAAGTATCCTCAGGATTTATCCTGTAGCCCTGTACCACACTTTGTAGATCCTTTGTCAGTGTCAGCCATGAGGATGAGTCACGGCCATTGATTGACCAATTTGCTCTCTGTGAAAGCCTGAGAGAATGTTTTTCTCTCCATGTGACTCTCCCCAGGCACACTGTACATCATCGATCGCATTCCTCTGTGGCTCCATAATCTTCTTGATCAGAAAATTTGGAGCACAACTGAGTTACATGATGTTACAGTACAGGTTCTCCTATGTCCTGAGTCTTCACTGACCTTGAAAGACTAGGGTCAAAATGTTGGCTGACCTTGCAGCCCTTCCTTTTCTCCCATTTTGAACTGCTAACTTAGGTTGTTAACTCTCCAGAAGAGAAGCGTATTATTAACCTGCAATATATGCAATTCAGTTTACCCTATCTGCCTAAATATCAGACATCTTTGGCATATCATGGAACAGGTATTTTCCATCAAATATTGATATGTTGAACTTTAAGTCCTTACAGAATATGAAGGAAAAATAATTTTAAAAAGCTAGAAATAAGCATTTGCATACTTTTACAAAGAAATTTAGAAATCTAACCATATACAGAATTGTAACAGGACAGACCTGTGTACACTGTCCAAATCTTGAGGGAACCTGAAAGAATTTCTACATATAGGTCCAGAGAAGCGGTGCTGGGCCCCCGAGCCTCAGGCCGATGTCAGGTCTAGGCCATCCTGTTGAAAACCTGCTGCATTTCCCACAAGAAGGACACATACAGGACTTCTGAAAGTGGCTTGGTAGTTAAATGTTACCAGGTTTTGGGTTGCTTGCCTCTCCCTCTGGAGTGGGATTCCAAGTTCTTCTTGTCTTGAGCAAAAAATTGAATGAAATGAGCAAAATGCAGTGGCAGCATTTATTTGAAGCTGGATTTGGTGATGCATGCTGTGATCCCAGCCCTTGGGAGGCTGAGGCAGGAGGATTTCTTCAAGTTCAAAGCCAGCCTGGGCTGCAAAGTGAGATCAAGGCCAGCCAACTACGTAGTTTTACCCTGTCTCAAAAAAGTTTTTTTTTTTAAAAAAAAAGTTTATTTGAAATAGTGAAAGTAGGGGCCAGGGAGATGGCTCAGTAGAATAAGCGCTTCCCTGGCAAGCTCAAGGGCCTGAGTTCAAGCTCCGGTTCCACCAAAAAGAAAAAAGTAAAAATCTATCTACAATTCTTTGGGGCCAGGCAGATGGCTCAGTGGAATAAGCACTTCCCTGGCAAGTACAAGGGCCTGAGTTCAATGCCTGGTTCCACCAAAAAAAAAAAAAAAAAAAAAAAGGTGAAATAGTGAAAGTGGCATTGCAAAGTGCGCTTGTACCAAGTAAAATAAGTTTTTGCAAAGTAAAAGTACAGCCAGGAAGATACAGGGCAGCTATCCTAAGGGAAGCCACAACAGCCGATGTGTACATTTTTGAGGGGGGATTGATATATGGATTTTTGTTGGGGTCTTGGCTTCCTATCAGTGTGACACTGTATCCTTGTACTCTACCAGCTGGAGGCTGCAGCAGGAGAGGTTCTTTGACATGTGGTTGATGTGGAACAGTTTGTAGCCAGAAGTCAATTATTCCAGAGAGGCCTGACTTTTAGTTTTAAAGTGGGAAGCATCTGGTCTCTGTGCTCATGTCTGTGAACTCCATATCTAGATTTGAACTGAGATTATACTGGCAAACCCAGCCAGGTTGGCATATTCTGCCGGGTGGGTTTGGGTGGTGTGTGGATGGCCTGTCTTGAATGGTGGTAGATTGGCTGGGTGGTGCCAGGCTGTCCACTCTGTCCCTGTCCTGGCCTCTGACCAGCTCAGAGGTCAAGGCAGGGGAAATGGGTGGGGATCAGGTGCTACCTTTCCTTCCACTGGCTACATGGGCTGGGGGGGCGGGTGAGAAGATGCAGAGCTCTGGGGCTCTCTGTGGGCGCTTCAGGCTCTTTGCTGACCTATCCTTTCCCCTGAGGTCCCTTGATAAGACAACTTGCACATTCATTAGAAAGAACTGAGCAACTTCCGGTGACCCTTGTAGGCCCAAGCCCCACATGTAATAGATCTGAGTGCTTTGTAGTGGTTGTCATGACACAGTATTCAAAGGTGACACTTACCATGCTGCTTATTGGCACTGAGCACATTGCTGCCCCTTCTGTATTTGTGACATTGGGCTGCTACAGGTGTTAGGTTGAAATGCACTGATTGAGCATCAGCTGGAATGGGCAGGTCAGGGCTGGTGGGGAGGAGGAGATGGAGGGAGCGAGGGATCGCTGCACCTCTGCTGGGGTGGGGTGAGGGTGGGGGGCTCGGTGTCAGCAGGGACAGACATTTTCACTGAGTGATTCCAGGTCAGGGGATGCTGACACAGCCGGGTACTTCCCCACGAGTGGAGGACAGCATGCCCCCTGCTTCAGGGCTGTGGCACAGTGCTTTCCACAGGACTCCTTGTGAGCTATTCCAGGGCATTTGTGTGGCATGATGTGCCCCAGCCTTTGGGCCAGGCTGTGCTCACTGGGTTGCCTGTTCTGAGGACCTCTTCTGGGGCTGTGTGGCTGTGGGCTGCTGGGTGCCTAGCTAGCTTCTCAGTGGGACTATCCAGTCTGGACCCTCATGACCGGTGTTTGCATTTGGGCTTGTGTATGTGTGTATGTGAGAGATTGTGTGCAGGGCCAGAAGACCTAACATCCAAGCAGTTAACCACTTTGCCATCTAAAAACTATTATCTGAAGGAAAGAAATTTTGCTCGTCCTTTTGTGGATGTTCTTAGTTCTTACTACATTTGTTATCTTGACCTCGAAAGTGGGTTAAGATTTCAAGAGTTAAGGGTTCTGGCTGAGACCAGTTTCAGTGAATACTCCTCCTTGGTTGATGGACTCTGGATTCACCCATAGCGCTGCATGTGTGGGGGCGGCAGAATCATGGGATACAGGCTGGAAGTACTAGGAGCAGGTGGGGGAGGCAGTACTTCAACTGTGAAACTCAAAGGAGGAATGTTTAGGCTCCTGACTGCTTTTGGTGGCTAAGTATGGCCATTATACCTCTTATCCATTGATCTTTTTCTTTTGGTGCTGACCATTGAACCCAGGGCCTTGTGCATGGTAGGCAAGTGCTCTCCCACTGAGCTACATCCCCAGCTCCTTTTGTTTTGCTGAACACACAAGACCGTGCCTCAGTCTCCTGTGTGTGCCACTGTGCTGGCTCCTTTGATACCTTTGCTCCTGCGCTGATAATCTGAACCCACTGAGTCTTCTGTCTCTCCCTGCGGGCTCCTTCACTCTGCGCACACTGCAGGTTGGAGCCAAGCCCCCGAGGGCGCTGGACTCTGTGTACCTAGTTGTCAGGAGACTTTGTTCCTATCTCTTTAACTCTTCTTTGTTATCTACAGCGGCTTGCCTCCTGATTGTTCTAAGTAAAGATTCTGAAAGATGCATTGAAGTGTTCTGATAACTTATATTTGTATCGTATATTTTTAGATGTACTTACAACATTTCAAAATACTTTTTTCTCAGGCACAAATATTTAAACATGGGAAACGTGAAGACTGTCTCCCCTATGGTAAGGCTTACTTTTGAGACATGTTTGTGTGTGACAAGAATGGCTCCTTGACCTTTTGTCTGTGGTGTGAGAATCTTACGTGGTGTGTAGGGGCACTACCATAGCAATGGCTGTTGGTTTTGTGTTTAATTATGGGATATTTGGTGAACTCTCCCAGTCATTTGAAAGGCAGGGCTTGCTGGGGGTCTTGTCCTGTAGCTGGGTCCTGACTGCCCCATCTGCCTCCACCTTGGTGGGACCTGGTCTTGGCAGGTGTGGCCCTAAAGTTGCCTTTGACTTCCTGGGAATCTTTATCCCCCATCACACTCCCAGTCCCCTTTTCTGTTCCTTTGTCATCAGTCCCTCACCTGTACCTTTCCCCACTCCTGTCACCCGATCGCCTTCTCACCTCATCCAGGTACTTGGCTCTGTCGTAGCTCTTCTGGCCTCTGCTTCCTCATGCAGTTGGTTAGTCCCGTGCATTTCCCTTAAGCCCATATCTAAAGCTGAGTCCTCGTTCCCGTCCCAGGTTCTCTTCTCTTCATGGGATGCTGCCCTGGCCGTCTTCCCTCTACTTGCTTCCAGCCACCTGTGCAACCTGGGTCCTGGCCCATTGCCTGTGTGAGACCCCTGCCATGATCCAGTATCTGGATCCTCCCGGTTGCCATCCCTACATGCTGCTGAGTGCCTTGACAGAATGTGCTCAGAAGTTCTAGCCTACTGCAGGACTGTCCCTGTCCCTCAGGCCTTCACGACTGCCACCATCTAACTGTTCTCATGGGTGAGACAAAATACCCAGCAGCGACAGATTAAGGGAGCAGAGATTTATTTGGCTTGCAGTTTGTAGAGGCTTCAGTCCATGGCTGACTCTGAGGTAGGGTGGCGCATGGCAGACAGGCATCACAGAGGAGAAGCAGTCCATGGTGGGCTAAGGTAGCAAAGCAAGCAAAGGACAGCCCCAGCTCTTTCTGTGCCTTATGTCTTATCCAAGCTACTCAGGAGGGGTAGTGCTCATACCCTTAATCCTAGTGCCGTTGATTCTAGCATTGCACCACAAATCAATTCCAGTGTCACACAGTCTAGATCCAGCCAGCTTGGAGGTACCATCTACCCACAAACTATAACAGCTGCTGTACAATGGCTCCAGTGCTCTGGGCCTCTCCAGTGGTTGCTGCCTGCTGAGGACGTTGGCCGACTGCACTCTAGCCGCTCCTTCTTGGCTGATGACCTGAGGAGAGGGGTTTTGAGGTCAGGCCTTAGGGTGGTTGTCACCTGCCCTGGGCCTGTGGGATCTCAGGGTGGCAGGCATCAGCTGCAGATGTGAGTGGGCGGTCTTGCCATCATGCTGAGCCATGTGCTCTCTCCACAGCTGCTGTTGTGCTGCAGTGCCTGGACAACTGCAGGCTCCCTGAGAGCAACCAGACCCTACTGCGAAAGCTGGCTGTGAAGCTGGTGCAGCGGCTGGGGCTGACCTTCCTGAAGCCAAAGGTAGCTGCCTGGAGGTGGGTAGGTGCTGGTGGCATTGGTCTTGGGTGCTCACGGTGCTCGGGCTGATGTGTGATGGTGTCTTCTCCATTTACTTCTATAATCTTTTTAAGTGTTTTTTAAGTGTGCCTAGTTTTACAAGGAATATTTTCCTTTAGGGACTTTCTTGCTGTGCCTCTTGAGGCTGAGGGCGAGGGAGGAACCTGGGGAAGGAACCTGGTCTCGCCTTTAATGGATGTGCAGCACTGATGCAGCCCAGTGTTACTGGTTAGGGCTGCAGTCCGGGGTGGTTCTTTCCCCTCAGTGCGCTCTTGAGAAAACCAAGTTCACTTTTCAGGTTTATTCGAGAAAGGAAACACGTTTGCTCATTGAAGACTCTCATGCTGTAGGTGCTTGCATTCATCAGCAGATTGGTATTGAGTGGCTGCTGTTGACACACACTTCTCTCATGTGCACGGGGTGCTATGCTCTTTGTAGCCTTCTGTTTTATTTCAAGTAGTGATGTGTGGAAGGATTGGACTAAGTTCATCTACCCTTTGTTTCAAGTAATGACAAATTCTGGAGAAGTGTGTTGTAGTTTAGTGACACGTTACTGAAACACCTTTGGGGTATTGAGTATGTCGCCCCTCTGTAAGGAATGGCTTATTAGATAGACTGTTAAGGCCTGGCTTCTAGACTGCCATGGAGACTGGCTCAGTGCTAGAGAGGGTGCTCCAGAAAAGCAGGCGAGCGTGCTGTGCGGGTGTACACGCAGGCACGCACACATGCTTCATGAAGAGCTTGTGTGGCCGCGGAGGTGGGCAAGCCTTGAGGTCTGCAATGGTGTGGCAGGCTGGGGATGCCCATCTTAGGCCCAGCAGGTGGGAGGACTCCCTCTTCCTGTCCAGAGAGTCAGTCTTCTGTTTTACTCAAGTCCCCAGCTGATTGGACAAGTCCTGTTGATGGGTCTGCTGATGGGACAGCTGCGCTGTTCACTCCACCCGGATACACCAAAGTAGTGTCACGAGTGCTGCGGGCAGCTGCTCTCCTCAAGGGGGCAGTGGCATTGCTGGCCCAGTCGTGCCTGTGGTCCATGTATTCTCAGTGGCTCTCCCATCTTATAGAGGCTGTGTGGAATTGTATGGCCGTGTGGGTGTGCAGTAGGGCCCTACATGTACATCCGGGAGGGAATGCCAGCCCACTGGGTGAAAACTGGGCAGCTGTGTATTCAGGCTTTCCATGTGTGTGTGCAGAGGCAGAGTCCATGGGACCTGGCCACAGATGAGCCATGGCCGCAGGTGAGAAGGGGCCACGTGACTAGGAGGGTGAACCTACGGGATGTGAGTGGGACGAGGCTGCACTTCCGCCTTGCGCACTTGGGCAGGGCCCCGTCCTCACCCTCCACAATGTGGCTTGGCAGTGACAAGGCTGGCTGCACTCAGACAGTGTCTGTGTCCGTGGCTTTCTGCACTGGTGCTGATGATGGTGCGTCAGTCTCCTCCTGTCTTGGGAAGCACGTGGAGTCGTCACAGGCCGCTTTGCGGTACAGAGTGATGCTGGCTTCATCTCCAGGCTGGTGGCTCACGGGTTCTAGCTGTGCTGCTGATCTGAGTGTGTTGTGATCTCTACAGGTACCAGCGTGGTTCCCGATCCTTGGCTGCTAACCTGCAGCTCTGCCCCCTGGCTCCAAATGAGCTGAAGCTACCTGCTGCGACGTGTGATGGAGACGAGGACTATGATGTCCCAGAAGGGGTAGAGAGTGTCATAGGTACGTGGGCAGCGCCAGGCCTCGTGCACATGCTGTACCTTCACCTCTCCCTGGGCCTCCCTTTTGATGCCCTCCCTTTCCTTCCTGGTGCCTGCCTCATCTCACGCTGAGCCTGCTGTGAGTGCAGAGCCGCTGCTCTCTCCCTTCCTGGAGCCCCCTCACCCTGGGTATCTGGGGAAGCAGAACCCCACTGAGGCATAGCACTCAGGTTCAGATGCCTGGTCCTTACCCAGCCTGTTACCCACAGTTTCCTGGGGGCATCTCAAGCCTTCCACCTCATCTTTGTAGAGGTCTTGACCCACTGCCTGTCATCACCATGGAGGCCGTATACCCCTCTCTAAGGCTGACCTTGGTGTCTCTTGCCACTGTCCCTCCTGTCGCCCTTTCTCTCCTTCCTTATGGGGACCCCTGTCCTGCAGGGCCAGGTTCACTCTTGCTATGTCCCCTCTGCTTATATCCACTTGGCCTCCTTTGGGGTGAGTTCTCCCCAGTGTTGTCTACACCTGCAGTATGCGGTCCACCTTGGCCATCATGGCAGCTCTGTATACTGCTGCATCTCTTCTTGCCTTATCCTTCTCTTCACCCTGAGGCCTTACACCTCCCTTTCCTAGATGCTCTGGTGTGGCTCCTAGTGCATGCCTTGGACCTCTCAAAGCCACCTGGCACTCCACTGTTGCAGTCGAGTTCTCTCTGATTGCCCAGCCACTCTTCTGCAGAGTTCCTTGTGCCCCTGTTTCTCGAGGTCAGGTTGGCCTGGGACTGCCCATGGTCCTCTGGCCAAGGTTTAGGCCCTATTGATGTCAGACTGCCTCCCAGCAGCCTTTGGGTGAGGGGCTGCCCTTCATGGAGCCTGGCATATGGTTTCCTCAGGCAGCCTACCCAGCCAGCCCGTCACCCATGGCCACCTTTTTTTTGGCTTAGGAGGCTCTGGCCCTTGACCTTCCCCTGTGGAGGCCACTTTGGTGGCTCTCTGCTGGGCTGATCGATGTGTTAGGAGTAGTGGAGAAGATGGGCTTTCTGGGTTGTTAAAAAAACACAAGGACAGTGCTGTTCTTTTTTTTATTTATTTATTTATTTATTTTTTTTATTTATTACATTTATTTATTGTGTGTGTGTGGCCAGCTCAGCCCACCAGGGGGCGGGGCTGGCTGGCATGTGGTGCTGGGGATCGAACCATGGTCCCTGTGCTTTGCCAAGCTTGTTTCAAGTAGGTGCTTTAGACCACTGAGCCATCTCTCCAGCCCCGACAGTGCTGTTCTTTTCTTATTTTCTTAAGATGAAGATTTTCAGTACAGCTTGCTCCAGGACATTGGTTGGAACACGGTGTGGGGTAGGGGCATTTTCAGAGTGTCAGGACTTGCCTGACTGATGGCTGTGTCTCCCTCTTGCAGAGCAGCTTCTGGGTGGCCTGAAGGACAGAGACACGGTGGTGCGCTGGTCTGCAGCCAAAGGGTAGGTACTGGGCAGCAGCTGGTGGGGCCAGGGTGAGCTCTTCAGCCATGGAAAGCTTTATACAGGGTTGATAGCAACAGATATCTTAGCAAGGTTTTAAACTTTTAAGATGATTAATGAGAATGAAGTTTTGACTCCCTGGCAGTGTTGGGCTGTGGAGAGACAGGGTCCATGTGGAGTAGGTGTCTTTTGGAGAAAATGAGGGGCTGACAGGTGGTCTGTGGGTTCCCTAGGCTCTTTGATTTGGATGCTGGCCCACGGTTAGGGGCTCCTTCTGCATCTGTACTCAGTGTTGGCAGTTGAGTGTGGGCCTCCACCCTGGAGTACTGAGAGGACCCTTCTGCAGGTCCCCAAACTTGGCCTCCCTGCCAGGCCAGCGTCTTGTGGGAGTGGGAAGCCTACCTGGGGAGGGGCTGGGTGGAAGCGCTTAGCATGTGCCCGCTGCTGTTGGCCGTTGGTGATGGCCTGCAGCATTCATGTGCCCATGTGTCATGCCTGTCTCTGTCATGGTGAGTGATGGTGGCAGACCATAGTGTGCGGGGCTTTCCTCTGGTCTCGGCCATTATAGGATGTGTCCTATACCATGCTGCTGGCCTGACAGCTGTCACTTTTCTCCCCAGAATCGGCAGGATGGCAGGGCGGCTTCCCCGAGAGCTGGCCGATGATGTGGTTGGATCTGTACTGGACTGCCTCAGGTGGGTGCTTGTTCTGGGCCATGGCAAAGGGACCTCTCCCTGTTCCATAGATCTTGTTACATGGATCTTCCCTCTTGGCACATGGCAGAGGCTACTGTCTCTGTTCTGGTTACGTTTCTTTTTAGTGTGTTGTCAGTGGGACTCTGGGCCTTCCATTTGTCTTGAACGTTAGTACAATGATGCGAGTTGACTGGTGTGTGCTGTGGTTAAGACCATGGCACTGCAGGTCAGGGAAGCTGCGAGTCTGCTCTGAGATCTCCCTTCTGGTCGTGGTGGCTGCCTGCACTGTCCCATGGAGCTTCTGGGGGTGGGGCACCATGTGGACCTGCTCCAAGTGACTGAGGAGACTGAGGCCTAACTGAGAAGTTGGAGTGAATAATATTGCATAAGTATAAATTTGGCCATTCAGTAGTTCTTTGGATGGTAGGGATGGTGATGTGGGTAGGTGGGAGCCTGGGCCGCAGATCTGAATCACGTATCTGGGGGGTGCTGGTTCTGATACCTCCCCTAGGGCTATCACCTGTGGCATTGGTGTGGGTCTTGGTGTCAGAGGTAGGGGTTGAGAAGGGCCACGCCATTGTTCAGAGCCCTGCTTTTTGCCGGCCCTCCATAGCTGGCACTGTGTCTGGGCCTGTCACTGTGTAGCTGGGACTCTACATCTCAAAAGTGTGCTGTCAGCATTTTGGTTGCTCAGTGTGATGTCAGTGACCAGAGGCGCTCTGCTAGCAGCCCTGCCATCTCCTGCTGGAGCAGTCTCTCCTCCACTTAGCCTCGGGCAGCTCAGTGACAGTCTTGGACTACAGGGAATGATCTGTCACACACTGGTCATCTTCGGAATAATGCTGCATAGAGTAAAAGCACATGCTGCTTGCTGGGGTTGCCTTATGGAGTGCGTGGGCTGGAGAGAGTGGAATTAGTCTTCTTGAGATCTATGGGCTTGTTTCACGCTCATCCTGGAGTTCCCTCCAGTACACTGTGCTCTTTGGGTGCTGGCTAATGGGCAGCCTGGGCTTCCTGTTCTCCAAGAGAACAGAGCTATGGAAGTGGGGCCATGAACAGGGTGGGTCCTTCACCTTCCAGCTGCCCTTCACTGCCCAGTTGGAGTGGCCATTTGTCTTAGCTGCTTTTGTTGCTCTTTCCTTCCCTGTGGTGTTCTGCATGTTCCCTCTGGGGTTTTTCTTGTTGTTTGTTTGTTTATTTATTTATTTATTTTTGAGATAGGGTCTCACTGTGCAGTTTAGCCAGTACTTGAACTCACCATATAGTCACACAGTGATCTTCCTGCCGCTGCCTCCTAGACATGCACCGCCATGCCCAGCTTCCTTCTGCTTTTAGAATTGTTGTCTTCCCTCGCCTTTTCTGGAGCTGCTCTCTGCTGGGCCTCTCAGCAAGCTGGGGTGTGCTGCTTCCCCCCCGTGTTTCTTCCACTGGCTTGCAGGCTTGTAGAGTGCCCTGGCTACCTTGATTGTCCAGTGCTTCTTGCCTTTTTTGTTATTTTGGTTTGTGAGTCACATTTTTGTGCCTTCGTTTTCAGGGTTGGAGTAGGCATCTTGCCCTTGATCCCTCCTCCCTCAGCTCAGAGCAGCACGCAGGGCGTAGCGCAGGCAGGGCCCTCACCAGGTCTGAGCAGGGCCCTCTGCCTCCCACGCCCTCCAGTCTCCTCGCGGCCCCTCCACAGCCGTGCCCTCATCCCTGCCCCTGAGTGTTTCTGCCTTGTCCTGAGCTTGGGTCTGAGGTAGCCGTCCTCATTCAGCACTTGGCTGATATCTGCCGGTCCCTGGTGTCTAAAGACTGGCTCACCTCTTAGGCCAGCTGGAAGGGGAACCATGGCGCACACATGTTTAGTTTAGAAGTGGACATGGGCACGACATACCTTGGCTGTTGTATGTTTGAGTCATCATAGCATTAGTACTCAGTTCATTCTGTTATTAATCTGTATGAGAAGTGTGAAGCGCTTTTAAGTATAGTTAAGATCTAAAGGGACATAATGTGCAGATATTAATTTTGGAAATTGTTATGTTGCCTTTGGGCAGGTTTTTAGTAGAATACATAGAAATTAATAAAGTTGTACTTGAGCTAGGCATGGTGCTGCCCACCTGTCTCAAAAAATAAAAAGGGACCTGGGCCTGGAGATTCAAGGCCCTGGGCTCAGTCCCTGGCACCATACTGCAGTAACTCCAAGAGAGGTGTGTTGGAGGGACCCCGCTGGAGGTTCCTGCAGCACAGGGAGGCCTCAGCTTGGTGTCTGCTGTGCACTCTCCCATCCCAGCAGCCTTGTGCTTGCTGCTGCTGGTGGTGCAGCCTGCTGGTTTCCTGCATGCCTCTACTGCCAAATTAGTTTGGTCAGCATTGGTGAAAGTCTTGTAATTTTTTTTTTTTTTTGTGATGTATACTTTTATATTTGTATTGGCAGAAAAGTGTGGAACAACCCTGAGAAGCAGTTATTCACATTAATGATGATGACAGGCCGCAACTAGAGAGAGCTTCTGAGCCACTTCAGAGCTACTTTTATTAAACTTTACTTTGATGTGATTAATTCACATTATAAGCATTAATTAAAAGTCTGCTGGCCCGTGCCTGTAATTTGAGCATTCTGGAAGGCTGAGGCAGGAGGATTGCTTGAGCACAGGTGTTCAGGAGCAGTATGCCAGGATAGCAAGGCCTTATCTCTTATAAGGGGGAAAAAATTATATTTCAAATAGTTAAAAGAAAAGTACAAGCGCTATTTCATTCTGATGTTTTTTAAGCTTGAATTTGATGACTCAGGTAAATGGTGGGGTAGCATTTAGAGGAGACTTCCTGGGCCAGCGAGATAACTCAGCAGACTAAGCACCTGCTTAGGCAAGTGCAGGGACTGGGGTTCCATCCTCAGCACCACATGCTGTGCCGGGCCTGCCCCGGGCACACTGAACTGGCCACCAAGACCAGGCATGGTGGTGCACATGTGTAATCTCAGTGCTGGAGAGTCTGAAAACAGGAGGATCCCTCCTAGCGCAAGCTGCATAGTGAGACCCTGTACCAAATACATAAATACATACATAAATAAATAAAGGAGACTTCTTGCTCCCCATTTGTTGCCATCATATGACTTGGATGGGATCCCTATGAAGCCCTGGATTTGAGGTGTCATCCCTCATGATGGAGCCATCCAGGTGACACAGTAGGGTCTCTGTCCAGGTAACACAGGTAGAAGACTCTCTGGGCTTGACTGTCAGAGCTTTGCACCAGAGGGAGATTTGAAGAGATAGCTGTCGTCGTGACATGGTAGTTTCATGACACGATGGTGACTGTCTTGGTGTTGAATTAGGGTGTTTTATTCCTTTCTTTGCTTTTTAAAAAATTTATTTATTTATTTATTTATTTGTGTGTGTGTGTGTGTGTGTGTGTGTGTGGCCAGCTCAGCCCACCAGGGGGCGGGACTGGCTGGCATGTGGCGCTGGGGGTTTGAACCGTGGTCCCTGTGCTTTTGCTAGCTTGTTCTAAGTGGGTGCTTTAGACCACTGAGCCATCTTACCAGCCCCTAGAGTGTTTTATTTCTTCAGGCAAGAAGTGAGGGTCTCCTTGGGGCTCAGAGCACAGCTTGTGTTCCTTGCCTGTCTGGATTTTGGATCAAGAGCTGACATTAGAACTCTGGTCTCAGTTTTCAGGAGACGGACAAGGCGTGGCACGGTGGATGTCTGGCACTGGCGGAACTGGGCAGGCGAGGCCTGTTGCTTCCATCACGACTCTCAGAGGGTAAGTAACAAAGTGCATGACCTGTGTCTTCTGGCCTCCCTGGTGTGGCAGGTTGCTTGGAAGGGTATGCTGCACATGGCCTGTGTGCTCCCTGCTGCTGGCCTTGGTGGGATGCATAGGCCATAGACTCCATGTGCTGCAGGTGGAGGGCACAGACTCTGCTGACCTCTGATTTTCTTGCCCTGAGAACTGACTTTCAGCCCTAGGGATCTGCTGCTGAGGACTCCTGCAATCTCTGCACCTGGTGTCTCCACAGTGTCCTGTATCCACATCTGTCTTATGTCACCTGCAGTGACTGGGGCCTGCAGTGACTTAGTGAGGCTCAAGTCAGTGTAGAGCGCAGGGCATTGGGTGAAGGGCTGGGAAAACTGCAGGGATGCTGTGGTGCTGAGCTTGGGGGCAAGGACAGGGCTTGTGGCCATACTGAGGGCTTGTGACACCCAGGCCAGCTGTTGGGCTGTGGCTGTGGCCAGCCCGTGGTGGTAGGGATGGGCCTTGGTGTGACTGGAAGGGATGGAAGTTTGCAGGGATAGTGAGGACACTGCCTGAGTGGGCCCTGTAGATGCTGTGCACAAAGAGGTGGCTTCTGTCCGGAGCACAGACGCATAGCGGTGTGGCCAGCATCTCAGCAGACTGGGCTGAGAGTCTTCACCAGGTCTGGAGAGGCATGGCAGATCTTGTAGGGCTTGCATTAAAAAGTTGTGTTTAATATTACTGCTTTTGAAGAATCTTCTTTATTGGGAGAACTTAGGTACCGTAAGTTTACCCAATGAAGTGTGCAGTTACTTTGTTTGTTTTTTTTTTTTTTTTTTTTTTTTTTTTGTAGAATCAGGGATTGAACTCAGGCCCTTGCATTTGCCAGGGAAGCGCTTGTTCCACTGAGCTGTCTCCCTAGCCCCGAAGAGTGCAGTTACATGGTCTTTAATATGCTCAGAACTCTGCAGTACCACTGGCTTATGATTGGGTAGCATCTTCACTGTTGCAAGTAGAAACTCTTCTCAGGAGCAGCCCGTCCCAGGCAGCCACTGGTGCATTTTCTGACACTGTATGATATTTTGCTGTGTCTACACATTTCATATAAGTGACTTAGCAGTATGCACAGATGCATCTGAGTTCTTTCACTTAGTATAATGTTTCTGGTGTTCACTGTCATTGTAGCACACCAGCGCCTCTCTCCATTTTATTGCCGAGTGGTGGTCTGTTGCGTGGCTGCACCACGTTTGGTCTCGAGATGTTGGCTGGCATCAGTGATCCCAAGCAGGTGGAGTGAAAGGCTGTGAGTGCTGCTATCATAGCTGTCCAGCATAGTCCTGCTGTTTGAGCTGTGAAACCTGCCGTAGAATAAACCAGCCCCTGACCTTCCCCTGGGCGGCTGCCCTCCCTGTTAGTAGAGCCCCGTGTTGCCCTCACCCAGTGCCTACCAGAGCCTGGACAAACATGACAGGAGAGTGTTGGGTCAGGAGGGAACTCTGTCTCGGGTGACTGTGGTTGGAGTGGTGCTGACACTCATGTGCCTCTGCACTCCACGTAGTACTTTCTGTGTTTCTGTTTTAGACCTTATGCTTTTGTTCCCTTGAGGGCGGTTGTGCTGCTGCACAGTTTTTGTGCTCCCTTGACTGAGAGGCTGTGGACAGCTTTGTCAGTGTGGAGGGCGCTGGCAAGATGTGGCCTGGGGGAATAGGTTTCAGTGGCATGATGGCCACCAGGATGTGGGGTGTTATCCTAGACGATGTGATCTGGGAGGACAACTGTTGCCACCCTGACAGTTTGTATCTTATATAGGTTTCTATCTCAGAAGTTCTGGTTAGGGCGGACAGGTGTTGACGGCACGATGGTCACCAGCATGCAGGTTTGTACCCTACAGGATGTGGCCTACAACCTGTATGTTGACGATGTGAGGCCACTAGCTTAGGAGTTTGTGTCCTAGAGTATGTGGTTCAGGTGGATGGGTGTCAGTGCTTGTGGCGATTCGCCCATGTGCTTGTATCCTGTGTACAGGACACAGCCAGTGGAAGAGGGAAGAAGTGTCCTCAGAAGTTCTCTGTGGACATCCATCTGGAAGACAGTTGGGTTTTTTCTCTTGCTTCTGAGAAAACAGCCCTGCCCAGTGGAGGATGGTTAGGAAAGGAGTGTTATCTTTTTTTTGGATGGCTTCTTAGGGAGCTTTGCTTGTGTTGTCCATGCCCACAGACCCCTTACCACATTGCCTATGTGCTATACCTTGTGCCTATTGATTGCATATTGTTTGAAGATTAACTAGCATTTGATACTGCTTCAAGTCTCCTGGGTATATTTCTGTCTACCTGTCTTTCATCAACCTGAGGTGACTTCAGGGTTACTTCATCAGATGTTCTTCCTGACTCTGGTTCTCCTTTGTCTCTCCTGAGATCCTGTTATATGTTTGTTGGTGTCTGTTAAGTTTTGTGAATTTTCTTTAGCCTTTCCTTTTTTTTTTTTTTTTGCAGTATGGGGGATCGAACTCGGGACCTTGTGCTTGCCAGTCAAGCACTTAGGCCGCTGAGTTAGTTCCCTGGCAGCCTTTCCTTTTTGGCTCTTCATTTGGCTAATTTTAGTTGTCCTATCCTTCAGTTCACTGATTATTTCTTTTGCCTGGACAGATCTGGCTGTCAGACCCTGTAGGCAAGCTTTTCACCTCAGCTGTAGGCTTTTCAACTCCATAGGGTCCATTTGGCCTCTTTGTCATCACTTCTGTCCCTTTATTGATATTCTGTAGTTTTTCATGTTTTAAGGCAATTGATTTGAAGTTTTAGCTGGGAAGTCTACTGTCTGGCCTTTCTTTGGGATGTTCTTTGTTGGCTCTTGTTTTCCTGAGAATGAGTGCACTTCCTTGTTTCTTTGGATGCCTTTGTTTGTTTTTTAATGAAAACAACATTTTGAATATGATGTGGTAACTCTTAGATGTCCACAGGGATTGGTTTTGTGTTATGTTGAGGGTGTGGCCATCTGTATCTTTGAAGGTGCCTCTGTAGAACCTGAGCATCTTGTGTTTTGTCTCAGAAGTCAGCTCTGAGTCTCAGCACCTGACAGAGATGTCCCTAGGGCTGAGATGCACCAGCCTCTTTCTTCCTCACAGAGAGCATTCTCTCAGTTGCTCTGAGGTTTGGGTTAGAATGTGGGCCTTGGCAACAGTTGGTCCTGGGAGCCGAGACCAACTTTGTGCTGTCTCGGTGGAGGTTCAGGTTATGGAGCCCCTCTGCCATGTCCATGACTTCATTGAGTAAGGAACATGTGAATGGGGCTCTAGTGGCCTTCTAGTCTTTTGATAGGATTGTACCTGGGAGAATTTCCTCAGGGAAATGCCTGCAGAGGGGCGCAAGAAGCTGAAGGCTAGAGGGCCCTATCTGGTCTCAAAGGTGTGTTGTGGGTGGGGGGCTGGAGGCTGTCTGGAAGCTCTGTGTCTGGGAAAAGGCTTTGGGGCATATTCCCATGCCAGTGTTTGCTGCAGAGGAGTCCGTGTCTTCTAGGAGATGCTACACTAATGTGATGGCCACATGCCCTTGTGTGCCAGGACTTGGTTTTGAGTCTGGTCTATGCACTGGGTCTCCTGGGGCTGTCTCCACTGCAGCACCCCCCCTCCCCCCAGCCCCTGCATTCTATCTCTCTACTACAGGCCTGGCACCTCAGTTTCCAAGTAAGTGGGTGGGCCTGGAGGGACCTGGACAGTCCTTGTATCTGGGGTTGGTTTTTAGCTGCTGTGGGGTTTTAAGCTGTTCACTCCCCAGTATGTAAGAAAGTGGAGCCCATTACCTCGAGTCTTTGTCTTGACTGGAGCCTGGTGGCTCTATATACCTCTTGGGTAAGCATGGGGAACAGATTGCAGCAGGACTTCTCAGGGCTGTGCAGAGAGCAGAGTAGGTATTAATTGCATTTTAAAAATGTGAATTAAGAAATAGTTTTTTTCCAGCCTACCTATAATATAATTTATATACCAAACAATTCCTCATTTAAAGTTTGAGATTAAAAAAAAAAAAAAAAAAAAGAATTAGAGTGGCTTTTGATATATTGCTTTATTTAAAAAAATTATAGTAAGAATATATAACATTTAAAAATTTGGCATTTTAATGTACATTGTTGTATGGCATTATGTTCACTGTTGTACAGCCGTCACTTCTGTGTGGTTTGGGAGCTGTCATGACCCCAAACAGACAGAGTCCTGGCTGTCCCAGTCCACCTGCTGCCTCTGCATTTCTGTCTTCTAGGAACCTCATGTGAGCACCGAGTTTGTATGGCGCTGGGCCTTGTATGACTGGTTTGTTTCACAAGTGTGATTTCAAGGTTCCTCTGTGCTGTAGTGTGAAGAGCAGTGTCCTTGCTGTGTGAGGACAGCCAGCCAGAGAATCTCCTCACTCTGCTCTTGGCAGGCGCTCAAGTTGCCCCCTCTGCCGCCAGGATCTGCTGCAGAGGTTGTGGAGGTGCATATGCTCGTGAGACTGTCAGGCCCCTGGGTGACACACTGCAGTAGGATTGCTGGGTCTTGGGGTGGTTTGTGTGACTTTTTGAAAGCTCATCACTTTTTGTATGTAAAAGTTAGAAACTTAGTTCTGGAGCCAGGCCACAAGTGGATGCAGACAGACAGCATAAGGAAGAAAGCAGTAGGCTATTTTCATGCTATAAGGCTCTAGGAATCTGCTTTGTTTTAAAGGTAAATGGAAGCTTGTTTGGTGGTGATGGTCTGTTCCTGCAGAGCCTTTGGGAAGCTGCCCTGAGGGTGGCCTTCCTGGGCAGGTCACATGGTGATGACATGCTAAGGTGCAGGACAGAGTACCTCCAGGTCGTCAGAGGTTCATGCTGGCCCAAGGTCAGGAGGCCGACAGCTGCCTTGGTCCCCTTTGTTGTCATTCAGGATGCCAGCACCTGGGGAGCTAGGGAGCTGTCATGCAGATCAGGGACCCAGCCCTTACAGAGGCGTATGACCATGGCTGTCAGTGCGAGGAAGGACCCTGGCCTACAGGACCCAAGGATAGTCTTGGGGCTCCACA